GGTTGATAGCAATGGGACAGTACGCTAACCTTGTCAGGAAATTCCTGTCTGCCAAACACAGCCTCATGCTTGCAACTAACAGACACAGCTAAAACCCCCTTACTGCTTGCAAAGGGCTGTTCCCTCAGAGTTAACTGCTCGAAGAGTGCAACAAACCAGTGTGAAATTCTGAGGTCTTATTCCCCAAAAGAGCAAGGTGGTGAACTCCTGTGCTGCCCATGCTTCTGCGGTAGTGCGCACAGACGAGCATTGCTCAGTGCCTTGCAGGATCAGGCTTACAAATGTCCCTGCTGCACCAGTTGATAGCAACACTATCTCTGTGCCTCTGATGAACTACGCGGTGATGCCCGTGGGGGTTCAAAGGCCTAGGTACTATGATAGTTATCGTGTCTGCTGAACGTGATATTCTCTGCAGGTTCCAAACTCATCAGCAAAAATGCAGAACCCTCTCCTGGCGAAGTGGCAGGGGTTTGTCAGAAAACACAGTTTGGGAAGGGAACTTCTCGGTCTTTGAGTCTAGAGCCTTGCCTCTGCAGATCATCATATCCTGCCATTCCATTCCTATTTGCTTTTAGTCATCAAAAAGGAGTGAGAAAGAGGTAAATGAACTGAGAGGGAATGAAAACTGGGAGAGCAAGCATGTCCTGGCAGATGAGAGGAGCAGAGTCCTTCAGTGTGAATGCTCTGGATGACAGTTTTGTGTCTTTTGGTACAAAATGGCATTTTTGTGTGTCTTCTGTCTGGTAGTAAGAATGGGAAGAAGCTCTGGTAATTCTTTCTTTCCTTTGGTCTGTCAAAGCCTAATCTCTGGGGTCTAGTTCTATTGATTTGATGATCCATTTATTACACAGTGTAAAGTTTTAACTCTCGGGGACAAAATACCAAGAGATGAAGTTATCTAGACCCAGAGCAAATTAAAGTGGGAATGAAAAACTTTTGAACTACAGACATTTAAGCTTTAATGAAGATTCTGAAAGAAGATGTCATTCATGCTATTACTTAAAAGGAGATCTTGGGCAGGACCAGCATCTTGGAAGCAGAAGCCTTTTTACAGCCCATGCTATTAGCGAAGGCTCAGCACCACCAGGCTTCAAAGACCCCATAAAAACTCTTTTGAGTCATAGGTAAGCGTTTCCATTGACTTCAGTGGGCTGTGGATAGTGCCCCACTTGCAGTCTCTTAATCCTTTGTGTTATCCCAGATCACTGCTGTAGAAATGATTGCGACAGCCAACAACGAGGCTTACAGCTCCCAAACAGCAGGCAGCAGGTGAGCTCTTATGAGTAAGAACTTATTTTCATGCAAATGTCCTTGGTAAGTGAGAATAAGGAACGGAGAAAAAAATACCTTGAATAGGAGATACAAATGGAATTGTTTTTCAATTGAGCATTTTCAGCATATGCCTTTATGCCTCAGAAAAGACATTTATTGCAAGCCAATGAATTAAAGTGAATCGCTATTGATAGTAATGCCCTGTCATAATAAATCCAGCCTCTTAGATATCCATCAAGAGGTATTCTCCCAAGTCCTTACTGAATGCACTACGTTTAGTAAATGGCCAGAGGGGAACTGAGGGCACAGACCATGTGGTATCACCACCATCTTACTTCCACAAGCATCCTGCTTTGTGGGATTTCATTAACTAAGCCATTAGTGTTAATATAGCCAGTGTTAACCTGCTATGCTCGAGTAGTCTTCTGGGATAATGGGTTTCCTCTACCTGTGTGAATTATGATGGGAGATGATAGTGTGTCGTTAGTTCCTTGAGGCATTCCCAGCCACTGAGACCTAAGGGTGGTGTTCCCTGCATGTGTGGTATGAAATCTGGCCCCACTCAACCAGTGGCAGAAGTCCCATTGCCTTTGAAACATCAGGATTTCATTATGACATGTAAACTCCTTTGATTCTCATTTCAGAGTATTTACATACTGCCCTGTGAGACTTCAGGTCCCCTGGCCTGTGTGGGACTTTTCAGTGGTATCGTAACACAAGAGGGTATTTACATGCAAACATTTCAATTTATTTTGTGTTCTGAGCACAGAAATGCTGCCATATCTTTACATTTTCCACACCGTGGTGCCTGATCTACTAAGAATGACAGCATATTTCTGAAGCATTTTGATCTGTGCATGCATGTGTGCATACATATATTTGTCTTTTGGTGTGTGTTTGCTGGTGTCGTTTTATCTTTTAATGACATAAACAGGGATATATATTCTAAAGATATTGTAAGGTTATAAATTAGGGTGGATTTTGAACTGTTCACTTAAAGTATTTGCCAGAAATGTTGTTCTCTTGCAGTAATGCACATTGTAATGCTTTTCCTGCTTACAAAAGGAAAAAAAATGGAGCAAATTGTGTGTAAGTAAATACATTCCTCCTCACCCTTAAGTGTATTGCTGTCAGCTGATATAATAGGTTTCTCACCAGACTTGAAGCAGATGAGTGGGCTCTGAATCCTGAAGGGAGGCAGACAGCATAGCTATTTTGTTTTTAGATTTCAAATCGTTTTGAGGGCCTGCCGTCAGACGAGGAGAAGTCCGAGGCTTTGATGGTTGTTAAATTACCGAGTGTGCGTTTTGACAACCCAGCGGAGCCTGGGCTGGGTAGGAATTCATTCCGCCCAGGATGCAGAGCACAGAGACAGCACAGCGCGGGACGGCCGTAGCTCCCCACCAACAAGCACCTGCACCAGGCCTTTCCCGGTGCCCAGCACCGTGGCTTTCTGGCGGCTCTGCAGCTCGGTTCCTGATGGCCTCTCAGCTGGGGGTCAGCGGCGGCGGCAGGGGACCGCAAGCTGTGATTCATTGAGTGCACTGTTAGGGATCTGTAGCTCGCCAGTCTCGGCAAAGAGCAGCACATTAGCTACATGACATACATTATGATAGTGCCAGCAAAGTGGTCAGTGCTTAACCAGGATACATTGCAGACCGCAGAGTGGCTGAGGGCTGCAGCACAGAACATATGGAGATTATTTTCTGAATTTATGCAGCACATGTTTTCCTATAAATTAAATTCAGAGAAAATGTGTATCATAATAGGGTGATGCTCACAACAGCCTTCCCTGTTATGAATTACAATGACCTCTCTCAGCTCGCTGCGTGCCCAGCAAAATGGCTTCATGCAGTTCGAAACAATAGCATGTTCGTGGTGTCAGGGTCTGAAAGACTGACCAAAAGCTCTGTAACAAAAAAGCAGGGGCTTTTTTCATTCTCCCCCATTGCTTCTCTTATTCTTACTCTTCTCTCTAGAAACTGCCCAGTTTTGTCCTGAAGTGCCAAGTTGCCGAGAGGTTGGGCAGATGCCCCGGTGTCTGCTCCGTAATTAACTGGGTGCTGCCCTTGCTGAGGGGCTGCCGGCCGGCAAAGGCAGCTCTGGACATGGAGGCAGCCCTACTTCATGGGTGAGGGCAGTGTGGGTTGCCAAAACACCAGGACGGGGGTCCTGGGCCAGAATAATGAGCAAAGCAGCACGTGTCCCTTCTGTGTCCTTGGACTGAGGATCCTGAGTCTTTTCTAGGGAAATATTTGATGTTCTGTTGCCTGGGGCTGGGACAAAATCATCTTTCCCTTTTCCTTGGATGTGCTGAAGCAGCTGAAGGAAAAATGTAGTAGAGACAGTCATTGTAACTACCTTCCTAAAGCATGAAAGGTAAAGTTATGTTCCTTACAACTCTGTGTGTGAAATCTTTAGCAGAGGAAATGTAGGAGCTGCCATGTAGGAGCAAACTGGAAACTCAAAGTATATACATGTGTGTGTGTGTGTGTGTGTGTGTGTGTATGTGTATATATAAAGCAATGGGTACCAGACAGCAGAACAATCTAGGCTTTGCTTTGGGGCAAATAGCCGCGGAGTCAGTGCAGACTGATAGAGTGTTTTCAGCTGGGCTTAAGGGACTTGCTTTTTCATTTGTGGCTGATTACAGGCTAATAGGATTTCAAAGATTTCTGGGAGGGAACAGTTCACATCTCATTGCATTTGATTTTTTTTTTTTTTACTGTTTCATTTATCATACTGATACCTACCCTTAGAATAAATTTTATTACTCTCCTGTTTAGCTTCTTGAACTGAATTTTTCCCCTTGGTCCCTTGCTGCTGCCTAATTGGCAGTTTTGAAATCATTTGGGACTTTTGGAAAGATCCAGAATGGGTCATTGGAATAAAAAATAATGTTGCGAATCTTTTTAGGTTTAGTCTTCTCCGTCTCTCACTAATACATGCATGATTGTGGCTTGTACTGTTATGTTTTCTTAATGAAAATTAACAATTTGAAAGCAACTCATGGGAACAACCAATACAGCTGAATTTTATTGGTACAGACTAATTCTGTGACTGACCTTCTCTGTTTAGTGGCGGTAGTAACCCTAGTTATTTTTCTTTAGCAACTCACATGTTGGGAACACACACTTAGCCTGTAAATATGGATTCAGGAGGAAAATGAATACGGCAGTGTTCAAAGCAGCCAAAAGCTTAGAAATAATGTTCTGCTGTGACTTTTCCAAACTGACATCTTGATGTTGGGATTATAAATGAAACCATTGTTCCAGCAAAGACCAAGACTAATAGAAAGCCTTTATTACTGGTCCATTGGCTAATTCTGCTTGTCTAACCCCTTTGGATGGACACAGTGTCAGAAAACATACTCACAGAGGTTGCTTTGTGTGAGTTTTGGCCTGCTGAGTGATTACATGGGGGCACAAAGACATCTCAATGACAAGTGTTCTTTGACTAAAATTTGTAAA